GACATGGAGATTTTGTTGGGATCTGCGAAAGTCAAGCCTGCGGTCAACCAGGTGTGTAACATCAACTTGTCCAAGACTTTTCTTCATAAGTTGGCATAGATTCTCCTTCATCCATACGTCTATAGGCAACAGAAACCCATCCTTGAGTATGCCGCGAAGAATGGAATAGTCATCGAGGCATACAGCGCGCTGATGTTAGTTAAACTTCAGGCTCCTTGATACATCGTTCGTGCTAATCGACATCCCTAGCCCTATCACAAAGTTACCTGGCGGTCCTTTGGACAAGCCATTGAACGAAATCGCCGCAAAGTTCGGTGTGACGGCCGATCAAGTCCTTCTGGCGTGGACTAAAGCCAAGGGGGCCGTCGTCGTCACGTGAGTCTATATGTGGTATTTTGGAGTTTCCCATTGACAGAAGCCTATCTAGCACAAGTTCAAAGAAGACGCGCCTGCAAGGTTACCTCGCGGCAGGCGATATAAGTGGGTTCAACCGGTTCAACTGTTTTCGCTGGTTCTGAACAATTTGCTTTAGCTTTGTCTCTAGAGGATATTGCTGCCATTGACGCTGCGGGCGCTTTGGGCGAGAAGAAAGTAAATATGAAGACTATATTGAAAAGGGTTGTCGTAGGTGCAATTGCTTGCACTGCAGTCTTTGGCGCATGCAACTTCCTCGGCATCAGCATGTTGTGAAGTGATCGTTAGCCTTTGATAAATGCTCAAATGTCTCTAGTACCTGTTCATCATGCCACCAATCCAGTTCCATGCTGCATAACCACTCAAATAGAACCATTCTCAGAAGTTTCCCATCCTTACCTCTGAACCATGCTTGTTCACAATCATTTGTTCAAGATAGGTAAGCCCCATGATCCAACAACTCAAGTCAGAGCAAGCTGGGTCTATTCATATCACCGGGCCTCATGTGCATGATAGACATGTGTCCATGGGGTGCCAACTTGAGTAGTCAGCTGTTTGTTCACCACATAAACCCATCCTCTTTTCCAGTCCTTCAAGGTATCCCTTTATCATCATCCATCGCAATGCCTTGGGAGTCGATCAAGCTCAATTCTGGTCGGTGTTTCTTTCGTCATCTCCGAACCGGTACTGACTAAGGGGCTAATATGTCAGGATACTACATTCCAAGCATCGGATTCGGTACTTGGAAGACAGGTAACGGCCAAGGACCTATCGATCAGGTTAAACAAGCTCTAGGAAATGGATTCACCCACATTGGTAAGTCCTCAATCCCTTGGTATCTCCGAGCGACAGCTTTTAACGCACATATCCCGTCGTGCAGACACGGCGCAGGCCTACAAGAATGAAAAGGAAACCGGTGATGCTTTGAAAGAGACCGGACTTTCTCGTTCAGATGTCTATGTGACAACCAAGTACTCCGGTACAAACGGTCTTGATATCCAGACTTCTATCAAGAACAGTTTGAACAGCGTATGTTCTGTCCTAGCTTGCAGCCAGTGTTTTCATGACGTTCACTGCTACATAGCTTGGGATATCGGACGTTGACCTCTATCTAGTCCATTCCCCGCGCCTGGCAGTACCTGACATCCCCACATGTTGGGCGCAAATGGAAAAGGTCAATGAAGATGGACTTGCTAAGTGAATTATTTGCGAGGTGGGGCTACATGACAATCTGACTTGAGACCACAGGAGCATTGGTATCAGTAACTTCGGCGTCCAGCATATGGAGACTTTGCTGGCATCTGCGAAAGTCAAGCCTGCGGTCAACCAAGTGTGTAACACCGAATGATTCAAAGTTAAATTTGACTTTAACGATAATTTGGCGTAGATTCTCCTTCATCCATATGTTTATCGGCGACAGAAACCTATCCTTGAGTATGCTGCGAAGAATGGAATTATTATCGAGGCATATAGCGCGCTGATGTTAGTTCACTTCGGATTCCCTGACACATGTGTTTGTGCTGATTGTCGTCCCTAGTCCCATCACACAGTTGCCCGGCGGTCCTTTGGACAAACCATTGAACGAAATCGCAGCAAAGTTCGGCGCGACGACCGAGCAGATCCTTATGGCGTGGACCAAAGCCAAGGGGGCCGTCGTCGTCACGTGAGTCTATATGTGGTATCTTGCAAGTTTCCCATTGACAGTGTCCCGTCTAGCTCGAGTTCAAAGAAGGCACGCCTGCAAGGTTACATCGAGGCAGGTGATATAAGTAGGTTTCACTCGATCAACTGTTTGAAGTAGTTCTGAACGATGTTCTAGCTTTGTCTCCAGAGGATATTGCTGCTATCGATGCTGCGGGAGCTTTGGGCGAGGAAAAGCCAATGTAAAGACCATGTTGAGAAGGGTTGTCCTGCAGTGTTATTCCTCGGTATCTGCATGATGTACAGTTATCGTTACCGTTTAACAAGTGGTCAAATGTCACAAGTGCCGGCTCACCTTGTGACCGCTAATCCAGCAAAAAAAGTTCCAGGCTGCGGAACGACCTAAATAGAACCATTTCTCAGATCCCTCGCGTGGAGCTAAATGGTAATAGTTCGTGTGAGTAATGTCTTGCGTTATGTCTGAGTCGTCAACGGGGACAAGGCTTGTCCTAGCACCTTCTAGACAAACGATTTACATCCCGCAAGGTTAGTCGACAAGCACGTCAATAATGCCTTGGGACTTGATCCCCTTGAACTCCGGTGCGTTTTGATGCATAGAGACGCTGATGTCAAGTTGCTCAACATTTGAGTAGGCTATAGCATTCCGAGCCTCGCGTATGGGACTGGATCGCTGGGAAGTGGACAGTGGCCAATAGATCAGCTCACACAGGCCTTCGATACAGGATTCTATCATATTGGTGAGTATACTTGGGACTGGCCATCGCATCCCAGCCAATAGCAAGCAGATACCGCTCAGCTTTACAGGAATGAGGCCGAGGTTGGCATCGCCATCGGTCAACTTGGGCTAGAGCGTTCCGACGTATTCATCACAACCAAATTTTCTGGCCTCAATGGACTCGATATTCCGACTTCAATTCGAAATAGTTTGGAATACGTGCGTAGTAGTCATATATTGCATGCGCGGATAGAAGTCGATTAACAATCGCAGTTGAACACTTCTTATGTCGATCTGTACCTCATTCATAACCCGGATCTAGCTGTGCCAGACATACCAACTGTTTGGGCTCAAATGGAGAAAGTCCAAGAAGCAGGTCTCGCTAGGTAGCTATCAGTACTCGTAATTCATCGGATTCGGAAGCTGACGTTGACTGCAGGAGCATTGGCGTGAGCAATTTCAATGAGAAGCAGCTAGAGATTCTGCTGTCGTCCGCCAAGATCAAGCCCGCTGCTAATCAAGTGAGTAAACAGACCGATTACGGGCAGTTAACGAAATTCAAAGCGCGGCCGCTCTACTATGTAGATTTACCTACATCCTTACAATCATCAGCAACAGTCTCCGACTCTGGAGTACGCCGCCAAATATGACATCGTAATCGAGGCATACAGTGCTTTGACGTGCGATAATTTCCGAGTTCACTTGAAAGTTTGATCATGATATTCCATATTTGAAGGCCTGTCACAGGCGAACCAGGAGGTCCAGTGGATGCCCCTTTAAACGAAATCGCTACGAGGCTCGGAGCCACCGCTGATCAAGTGCTCCTCGCATGGATCAAGGCAAAAGGTGCAGCCGTGGTGACGTGTGTCTTTATTAATCGGTTGAGGGGTGACATTGTTGATGTCGAAACCCACCAGCACCAGCTCTAAAAAAGCGCGTCTTCTAAGTTACCTCTCCGCTGGAGATTTTGGTGAGTCACCTTGTTGCAAATGACAGACCAAGTTGAAGGTCTGATGCATCACGACAGAACTATCTGCAGAGGACGTCAAGACGATTGATACTGCGGGCGCTATCGGAGAGAAAGGAATCACGGTCAGACATGGGCTGCGTAAACTCGGGGTGGGCGTTTTGTTTGGGATCCTGATCTTGGTTGCCTGCAGCTATTTCAAAGGTCGAAACAAGCGGAGCAACGTTGCAAAGGTGCTGGAGAGAATTTGACCGTCATGTAGGCTACGCGCTCGATGAAACACCATGTAAGATTACCCTCACTAGTATGTCTTCTTCTCCCATACGTTGAAGGCTAGCCCTCGGCATTTAGCATCGCGAGCGATCATTGTATGAACCTCTGAGGCCTAAGGGTCTTGTAGACAACGCTCAAGGGTACGGAAATGAGGGTGAAGTAGGTATTGCTTTTCACAGAAGAGATGAATTACTCTGGCCTCGCATGATGGGGCCAACATCCCTACTACGATCAGAAACAACGTCAACAACAACGTGTGACTCATCACAATAGGTCAGCCTAGATGCCAATGAAACCAGATCAACACACTTCATGCGGACCTACACCTGACTCATAACCCACGCCCCACGGTACCAGACATCCCGACGGACTGACTGTTAAAATATATGGTGACATCCTTGTTTGCTGCTTTGGCTTCCCGCTAATATATCAATAAAGGAGTGGTATAAGTTTGCGGTGAGCCAGGTAAGAGATCAATATGATAAACTTTGCTCGCGGGGGCCCGGAGTCTAACCTTCGAGATTCGAGAAAGATCTTTTTCCATCCTTGCGCTGTAACCTATCGAGCCTTTGCTGTTATTTCAGAGTAAGGATTGACAGATTGTTATTGGATCTATAATGCTCCTTCGCTCACAGGATGTTTCATCTAAATAAAGTTTTAGCTAGGTTTACATAGAGACAATGGGCCTGATGAGTTGGGTACTGAAACTTAGCTTGAAGGGCCGGCAACTAATTCAAGTTGTGAACTCAATCTGAATGTGAATTTCATCAAAATATAGCTAGACAGGCTTGCCAGGATTGGCATAGACTGCTATACTCCAGTGCGATACGCTGCATATAAGTGCTTGCATGTCAGTATGATACTTCGCATTCAAATTGAAGGGTTAAATTCGAGGTCGAAGCTTGGGTGGCAGCAATAATGATTCCTCGGAAATGGCCCCGGTCCCCGGGGGTCCTACTAGTAGATCACAACCAATGTCTTTTATCGATCTCCAGCCAGCTCAACACAAGTACATTTATGGTCCGCTCGCAACGAGAAGAGAAGCCTTCTATGTCAACACGATGACCATAATTTGAATCACATTTTCCACCAGCATCAGGCACTGCATGCAACAAAGCGCAACTGTGGCGCTTCCTGTAGTGCTAAGTGCTTTCCCTTCTCTCCATAGGCGGCTTCCTAGTCATTTTCCACCACTTGCAAGTCGGTGGTTTGTCGAGAGCACTTGCACTTGGTCACGGTCATGTCTCATGAGTCATCATGCCATGGTGCTCGATTGAGTCTGGTGTTGGAAACGACAGGTTTGATCTAGGGCTGGCAACACTCTTGAAATCACTTATTGTCGTGTGTTTTTTTTACACAGGCACCTTCGAGAACCCCCGCGTGTGTTGCCCATGCACTTGCGTGCATGTTGTGGTGGCTTCGGTAAGCAGAATTATACCACTTCTGTCTGATGCAACCCTAACTTCTGTTGCCAGCATGTTTGGAGTGCACTGGTTGCGGCCTCTGCGCAGTGGGGATCGACGAAGCTCGGGGCCCCTCCTAGTTGAATGCCACCTTCATCTGTGTCCTAGTCTCAAGTGATCTGAGCACTGGATACTGTGGTTGTGGTTTTGTGAGCTGAGTACCTATCTTAAAATGGACAAGTTATTATACCGCGTGTACTTCCATACATCTTGTATCCACGTGTAAGCTTTGATTTCATAGAACACTGCATGTGCCAGTGTATGTGTCATTCCGGCGACCGAGGTTGTCAACGAAGATCGCCTACAATTGTTGCGCTCTCCTTGCTGGTGTTCTGCTCTCCCTCCCGCGATCCTGGCAGGACCATCTCATATGGTGCTGGAGTATATATACATCCAACACTGGTCTACTATTCTCGGTCACTCTGACTATGCCTAAGAGAATCTCCGCTGCATTATCTGGTACCCCAACCGGTGAACCTCGTCCTCCGGCACCATGGCATGATGATCTACCAAAAAATAAATTTTGGTGTCTCTGCTACAAGGCATTGTGCATGATTGCTGTATCGACGTCGTCGGCTGAACACTGGCGTTACCTCACAGAGCGTCCGATAAAGAAAGAATGGATAGCACACAAGGAAATGGTGATGAATCGGTTTGAAAACATGAACGTCACTGTAAGTTTAGGCAATATGCTTCTTCGATTATTGAAACTTATCTACAGGCGGGTCTGGTAAAATTTTGAAAAGTTGTTCGAGGAATGTGGCTGACTTCATCCATTGCATAGGTCTTGACGACAAGCGCCGTTTTCATATCCACTGATCCTCGCAAGTCATTTTTGTCCTGTAGGAAACTACCGAAATCCTAATCTGTCGGTTATCAGCATTTGCACCTCTTATGCCCTACGCAAGCGTAAGCACCTTTTTGTTTTATCTTCCGCCCTCACTAGGAAACTAATAAGTTCTTCAGCATGGTACACTTTCTCCTCTTGAAACTTCGTTATGTTAACGTGTAATTAGGGTCATATATCCTTCAAGTGTGCGCGTTTGTAGCTGCGTTGATCAGTCTGATGACTGGTACTTCTGTTCTCATCATCTATGACACTTGCTATACAAATGATCAGTTAATGAAAGTGCGTCATTCACCTTCATACGCACTTCAGAATTGAGTAACAGTGACCGTTAGACGTTAATGCACTCTCGCTGGCGTCGCATATGTTGCCTTATACTGATGGCATATCCATCCCTGGCTCTGGCAGTCTCGACATTGACTTTGATGACAGGTAAATTTGTGTGCACGTTCCGGTTTCGAGTCGTTGATCTCAACACACTTTTAGCCTTCTTTATAGCCGGTTTCACATCTGACAAACTCTTTGTAAAAATTATGACTGCAGGAACCTACTTGACACTGATTTTGCTCGGCGTACTTGCAATATGTGTATTCAGTCCTCATTTAAGAGAGTGCGTGGTCATACATGTCACCCGCCATCCAGAAATTAATTTGTGTGCTATTTTGTGCTATCAGGATCGTTGATGGCGAATCTGAATCACATGCCACAGACAGTCACAATCCCCAAAGCTCTGAGCCAAAGGTCGTCCGCGATAGCGGGGTTTGTCCCAGGCATGTGCCCATTCATCCTGCTTGATTCGAAAACTAATTCAAGTATTAGTGATCACAGAAAACCAGACCCTTCGCGCAGCCTCGCGTAGGGGAGCAAGTCTAGGGGGAGGATTGCGCCATTAGCTGGTGGTATGGATGGACATGTCACTGTCGATGTCTCATTTGTGATGACTTTGTGTCGCTTTGAATCGGTGCTTCGCGTTGTTCTATGCACTCTGCAGGTGTTATATCTAAGCAGCCCAGAATTTGTATACAAAGGTGCTGGAAAGAAACAAATGACCGTCATATGCTACGTGCTCGATGAAAGACTAAGATTAGCCTCAAGTGTATCTATTCATATACTCTTCCCATTCGGTGAAAGCTGGGCCTCTGCAATTCAGCCGTCTCTCAGACGACTTAGTTGGCAACCATCCCAAGCCTGATTAGAGACGTATCACAACTATGCCTTGGGACCTCGTCACGCTGAATTCCGGTAAGTTCAAATGAGGTGGAATAGTTCCTATTCACCCAACGTCATCAGGCTACGCTATGCCGAGTATTGCTTATGGTACCTGGACCCTTGGGAATGGGCAGGGTCCCATCGACCAGATCGCGCAAGCTTTTGACACGAAATACTACCACATCGGCAAGCATCTCTGAGCATTGCAATCATATGAAGGTCTGAAATTTGAGGGTCTTGTAGACACCGCTCAGGGGTACGGAAATGAGGGTGAGGTGGGTATCGCTCTTCACGAAAGCGGTCTGTCGCGCGGAGATGTATTCATTACGACTAAATACTCTGGCTTCGATGGGCTCGACATCCCTACTGCGATCAGAAACAGCATCGACAACGTGGGTGGCCCACCACGACCGGTCAATCTAGATGCTAATGGTACCAGATCGGCACGCCTTACGTAGACCTATACCTGATTCATAACCCACGCCTCGCGGTACCGGACATCCCAACAGCGTGGGCAGAAATGGAGAAAGTGGTGGATGATGGGCTGGCAAAGTGTGTTACAACAACCCTATTTGCTGTTTTGGCTCACCGCTGACCAACATAGGAGTATTGGTGTAAGTAATTTCGGTGTACAAGATTTGGAAATTCTGTTGGCGTCCGCGAAAATCAAACCTGCTGCGAACCAGGTAAGGAACAACATGATGGGATTTGCTTGCAGGGTTCTAACCTTCAAGAAAGATCCTTCTCCATCCCTATGTTTACCAGCAACAGGCGCCTATAGTGAAGTATGCTGCTGAACATGGCATTATCATCGAGGCATACAGTGCCCTCCAGTGGGAAATTTTGTATTGTATCACGTACACGCGACTGACGTGAGGATGCAGACCCCTAACAAAGGAACCTAGTGGTCCGTTGGATGCTCCGCTAAACGAGATCGCCACCCGACTTGGGGCAACTACAGACCAGGTACTTCTCGCTTGGACAAGGGCTAAGGGCGCGGTTATCGTCACGTAGGTTCCACTTCGTTTACCAACGTTGTCGATCATCAATTCCCAATGCCTTTCTAGAACCAGTTCCAAGAAAACACGTTTAGAAGGCTATCAAGATGCAGGCGATATTGGTAAGTGCTATCTCGAGAAGTGACTTGGTACGTACGGCAACTTTACATTGTTTACATGGCAGAGCTTTCAAAGGAAGATATTGCTGTGATTGATGCTGCTGGCGCATTGGGCGAAAAGCGAATCACCGCTAGAATTGGGCTGCGGAAGTTTGGTGTTGGGGTTCTAGTTGGGGTTATGGTGTTGGGCCTTTGCAGTTATTTCGGAGTAAGGATTGATAAATCGTTATGGGATCTGCTATTATGCTCCATAGTTCGTTAGGACATTTCATTTGAGTCAGTCTGTAGCTAGGTTTACGCTGTGTACAGACAGTCCTGATGAGTCGGGCACTGAATTCAGAAAGGCTAGCAAAATGTTCAGTCCGAACTTCGATCACCTAGACGCTTGCCAGGGTTGAATAAATAACTTATGTAATCTATCCGAATTCGGGTCCGTACGGTTGATTCAGAGAATGGGTGCCAAATTGCCGCAGCAGCGCATCAGATACATCTCTGCCAGCTCAACGTTCAACCACTATGTCTCTTATCTCCAGCCAGCCTAACACAAGCACTATGAACATGTATGGTCCTCTCGTAACTGACAAGAAGAGAAGTCCTGCATGTCAACACAACGCCCACGATCTGAGTTACCCATGTGAATGCCCTTCAGCATCACACCGTGCATGCCACAAATCGAGGCTGCGGCGAATCATCCTGCCTATAGCGCTTTCCCTTCTCTCCGTGGGCGCCTTTCTGGTCATTTCCTACTGCTCGGAAGTTGGCGATCTGTTAGGAGCACTCAGACTTAATCACGGTCATGCATTGGACAAGCGCCAAACGACGAGTAGCACCTCAAGCTTCACGAGCAAAAAATGTGGTGCAACAATGTCTTCATTCATTGTTCTTTCTGACAACTCACTTCAGTGTACCTAATTATTGTTTTTGTTGGCCTTTTCCTCGTCCTTTTAGCGGCTATAATGCTCAGTTTCTGGTGCTGTCAAGGTTCGATCAAACAATCTTGAAAGCGCTTATTGCCTCATGTGTTTGATACAGGCGCCTTTCAGAATCCCCTGTGTTGCCCATGCTACTTGTGTGCATGTTGTGGTGGCCTCGGTAAGCAGGACTATTCCATTTCTATTACATCAACCTTACCTTGTGTTACCAGCATGTTTGGAGTGTATTGGCTGTGGCCTCTGCGCAGCTGGCATTGACGAAGCGCTATAGATAAACGCTGCTTTCATCTCTCCAGCGATCTGAACCCTCTACTTCATGATTGCGACCCTGCCGGCTGATCTATCTTATGATGGACAAGTTAATGATACTTCCATACTTGTCGTATCACATCATTGGCGAGCTTCTGTTCAATGAACAATATATGTGACATTCTAGCGCCTGAGGCTGCTGATGAAGATTGTACACACTTCGTATACTCTCCTGCTCTGCTCACAGCTTACTTCCTTCCGCGTCTATCGGTTCCGGGTAGAACCGCTCATATGCCAGTGCTGTATATATGCTCATGCAACACTATGGTGCACTATCACTCTCAGCATTTTCCCCATGCCTACGAGTTCGGCGGTACACACCACCCCCCTTCCCACCTCATCATCCTCCGATGACTCCGAATGGTGTGATCTACCAAGAGATCCTTGTTTGTGTGTCTGCTTTAAGGCGTTGTGTATGATCGCTATATCGAAGTCGTCGGTCAAGCACTGGGAAGAGCTCAGAAAGAATTCGACAAAGTCCAAACAGGATTCGGAAGAGCTCAAAAAGAATTTGACAGAGCTCAAACAGAATTTGGAAGAGCTCAGAAAGAGATCGGAAGGGCTCGAACAGGATTCGGAAGAGCTCGAACGGAATGCGAAAGAGCTCGAACGGATTTCGGAAGAGCTCAAACGGAATTCGACGGAAGAGAAATCAGAAAAGCATAAGAAAATGTTGATAAATCGGTTTGAGAACATGAACATCACAGTAAGCATCGGCGGTAAACATAGTCCTTCCGTTATTGAAACTTATTTGCAGGCGGGTCTGGTAAGCAAACTATAAAAAGCTGCCCGAGGATTGTGGCTGACTTCATTAAATAGGTCTTGACGTCAAGTGCTGTTTTCATATCCACCAATCCTCGCAAGTTCATTCTTTGTCTTGTATGAAGACCACGAAAAACTTAACCTACCTGTTTTTCTCAGCGATCCAATCTCTTATACCCTATGCAAACGTAAGCATTTTTCGTTTCTTATAGTGCCCGTATGTAGAAACTAACAGGTTATTCAGCAAGGTAAATGGTAAACTTCCTTCTCTGGAGACTGGGTCGTGGTAACGTGTGTCCAGGATCCTATATCCTCCAAGTCATCTCTTTTGTAGCTGCGTTGATGAGTTTGATGACTGGCACTTCTGTCCTCATCATCTACGACAGTTGCTATGCACACGAACGCATACTGGAAGTGCGTCATTTGCCTGCCTTCATACGTCTTCAGGCTTGAGTAATAACAATTATCAGTCGTGCAAGGAATCTCGCTGGCGCCTCATATGCTGCCTCTTACTGATGGCATTTCCTACGCTAGCTCTGGTAGTCTCGACATTGGCTTTAATGTCAGGTTTGTGTGTGGAAGTTCCGATTTTAAATTGCCATTCTCAAAGCCTGTTCAGCCATATGTATTGCAGGCCTCACATCGGACAAACTGTTTGTGAAAGTCCTGACTGGAGCATCTTGTGGAATATTTCTCCTCCTTGTTGTGCTCGCAAAATATGTATTCGAGGCTCCTAAAAAGTATGTGCTTTTATATATCACCTAACGGCCAGAAATTAATTCGGGGTGCCATTAGGGCTGCCTATGCCACCGGTAATGTCATAGACAATGGCTCTGGGCAAATACCCGTGGTAGCCGATTATCAGGGCAGCTCGCGTGGGCGTGCTGCAAGTCTAGAAGACGGATTGTCCCATTAGCTGGCGGTATGGACGGACATGTTACTGTCGGTTCATTTTTTGTTGTTGTTAATATTACTTTGAACCAGTTCCTTGCGTTGTTTCCTCTTAGATGAGAGAAAAATACAACTATACACTCTGCAGCGCGGGGGGACAGTTGTATCCAGCAGCTGCGGCACAGTATTTTGTCGGTCGAGAACCACTCTTTCTATCACTCTTATCATCATATCGTTAAGTTGATGGGTTGATAGTTCCTGTTCGCTATGATAGTTGTCACTCAGAGTCTAGTAAATTGAATGCAGAATGCCGAGCTATGTCGCCAGTATTGACATGGCCTACGGTGGTCACATCTTGGGGTACTGCGTTTGCTGCTACGATAACATATTTACTATTCCATTTACTGGTGGGTTGAGCTGAGGATGACGCAGCGGTAGTACCAGTGATGATTAGGCTATCGTAGTATTGAACGCCTGAAACTACAGACACACTGCATACATTGTTACAAACACAGTACACCACAGACGAGAATCCAGGCGTTCACTGAGATGTCAGGTCTTCAAATTCGAGCCAGGGTTGATGCCAAGTAAAGGTCCTATGCTTTCGAAGTTAAAAATCTGGTTGAAGGTTGCGGATGTTCTCTTCTCTGAATTTGACCTATAGCTATACCGTGACTTGCAAACGGAGATTTCAGATGAGACTTAGTGCGCAAAGGCTTAGTCTCCTCTAGCCAAACTAAATAGAAGGAAGACAGTCGTTCTTTCTTGATTATGGACGTCGACCCATATTTCAAACATATACAAGCTTGTCATGCGTCGAAAAAAAGAAAACACAGACGAGCTCCATCAGTAAATTCACACATTCCTTAATGTCCTTAACACACTTATCTCAAAACTCGTTTGCTCTCTCTCACATCATTCACCTAGCATATCTTGTGTTTTTTGAGTGTTAAACACAATAAAACATATATATTAATACACCTCAACATTTTTTTTCTGAATACATTCAAGTTGAAATTTCGGACAAGTAGATCCATTTTCAACAAGGCAGTTAAGTGCAAATAAGTCTGTTTAAGGGCAAAATAAGGAATGTGTGAATTTCCTGATGGCCTTTTAGTAACCAACAAAATTAAACAAATCCTCCACTTCCTCGAGTCAGGGATAATTTAAATTGACAACTTGTACTTAGTGGGATCTGCGCAGTGCAAACATTTGAGTAACTTGGCATGGACTCCGCGCCCCTTTAGTCAGCATTATGTAGTTATAATAGGTAAGAGGACTTTGTGCACCTTTGGGTTGCCAGTTTGCACTGGACCTGATTTGGTGTTTTCCAGTTTTCACTACTAGGTTGATTGTTGCAGAGAATCATAGTCAAATATTGAGAACATCACAATAATATACAAGTACAACCCCCAGCCCAACATACAATACAGCAAACTAACTACTGTAGAGATACAACACTAACTTTGTCATGCATCACAAGCTGCCATGAATTGAAGCTATTCAATGTGACTGTCACACTGATTTTTCATGACTGAACATCAGCAAAACCCTGATTTGGGTACAGCGCCACAGCCACACAGTGTGTCACAGGTCACATAGATTTTGTTGTAAAGGCTCTGTAGCACCACACAAGTATTGATTCTATGTAAAAATGAGTGTATTGTAGTCATAAACATGTATATAACAAGATGGTGTACTAATAATTATGTTTTATTGAGAAATTGTGTAGTGTGCAGCACTGTACAGCACTGTACATGGGGGGACCTTGCTGTGACACTGTGATTGCAGTGCAGTGCTGTGCAGTGCTGCACATAGGGTTAGGGTTTTGCTGATGAAGCTAGATTGTGGCATGCAGTAAATTCAATAAAAAAACATATAGAGTGCCTCAATGAGACTAAAAGTTGGTGTACATCCTATTTGCAATCCATCTATGCTTTCCATGCCCACAATCTACCTTTGAAATACTGTCAACTTCACCATCAATGTCACCCTCTCCAACATCATAGACTTTGGATTGTGTTGCAGGGGTGGGACTGCCATTGGTGACATCTAACACACAACTGGGATAGGTCTGTAACCCTTCTGAAGCTAGATAGTCAGTTAATATGTCCAGAGGCACATCACTGGCATCAAGACCACTGAGTTGAGGTTGTGGTCAAGTGTAGTGATGAAATTGGTATCAAGCAGCTGTGTGACAGATAAGGTCTGCAATGGGATGGTTGACTGAATTGATGTTGGAACAGTTAACAACTGTTTGATTTCACATCTGACAGATGATAGAAGGTGGTTCTGCTCAAAAATGCGACCACATTCAAGCCAATCCAAGGTGACAAATGCATCAGTTTCAGACTTACAGTTCCAGCATTTAAGACCATTCCCAGCATTATTTGACAGCTTACAGGTGAAGCCATGAGTAGCAATAGTGAAGTACTGACAGACTTGGACACCTGTCATTGATGATGGCAATGCAATAGTATGTACACTTCATCACACCTGACTGAAGCTATTTTGGTCTAGTCATGGATGGATGTGGTTGAAGTTAGTGTCATATCTCTACAGTATCACTCAAGAAATGTCAGCATCATCTGTGCTGCTACCACTAGCAGTAGGCTGTCATATCCCACAATCTGGACTCACATTCCATAATATTCCCATGCCTTCCGAGCCTATGTCTGGACCCCATATCCGACTCATTGCCAGATCCCCTTCCACTGTGTGCTCCACACCTCAGTAGGATTGACTCCATCCTGGATTTACCCCTGAGCTCTGGACCTCTGGATCCTCACTACTAGCCTGATCCATACCACCCTATCCTGTCCACCATATGTGCACTCCATCCAGCAAGACATCTGAACTTCACCTCATCTCAGATTCAGGACTATATCCACCTTGTCATATCCCAGTCCTGTATCCACCTCACCTTCCAGATCCTCAGATCTCCAGACCTCTGGATATCAGCCATAATTATCTCTGGATATATTCCTGCCCTCTGTCTGATATCCTGTGCCTATCCCCATTTAGACATCTCTGCCTTTCTGGCTTTCAGTTACCTCTCATTCTGTCTTGCTGATTGATCCTTGTATGAGTCTTCATCTCTGAGTTCATTTAGTTATGTTCTGTCTTACTTACTAATGTGTTTCCACATGCTCGTACATAGCCCTGCTCCTTTGCTTACTGATCCCCTCAGATATTGTCCAGTATATAATCCCTGTAGATACTCCTGTAGTTCCTCAGTTTGAATATCATCTTAGACATTGCTCTACTTGCCCAATCCTCT